AGCGCGCCCCACCCCGCCTCTGAGGAAAGAGGTGGTGGAGTACATGCTGGATGTTGATTCCCATATGTGGAGCATGAGAAGAAGCAAGGCTAACTTCTTTCGCATCATGTCACTTTTCTCTGGTGTGATGACACTGGGAAGATGGTTGAATGATGTTTGCCATTGGAAGAACCATGTTACATCAGTCCTAGTTCACATTCTTTTCCTGATACTAATATGGTACCCAGAACTAATACTGCCAACTGTGTTTCTCTACATGTTCTTGATTGGTCTTTGGAACTACAGGTTCAGGCCTAGGCACCCACCTCACATGGACACCAAATTGTCATGGGCTGAAGCCGTGCACCCTGACGAACTTGACGAAGAGTTTGACACATTCCCCACTTCTAGAACGCAGGATGTAGTGCGAATGAGGTATGACAGGCTTAGGACTGTGGCAGGTAGGATTCAAACAGTTGTTGGGGACATAGCTACACAAGGGGAGAGGTTTCAGTCTCTATTGAGCTGGAGAGACCCCAGAGCAACCAGCCTCTTTGTGGTGTTCAGCTTTTGTGCAGCTGTGGTTCTCTATGCAACACCATTCAAAGTGGTGGCTCTGGTCACAGGCTTATACTTCTTGCGACATCCGAGGTTTAGGAGCAAGATGCCTTCTGTCCCAAGTAATTTCTTCAAGAGGCTCCCAGCAAGAACAGATAGTTTACTGTGATCTTGTTTTGCTTAGAAGAGATAGTTTGTTATACTTATACATATAGTTACTGTTTGCAGTGTATCCATTTCCTGCTTTAATATCCTTGTTACTTCAAAATAATATAGTCCCTTCAAGCTCCATTTCCTCAGAATTTGATTTGGCAAACACTCTAGAGAACTACCAATTCTTCACTTTGCATAATTATCAACATTAATGACCTAAAACATGTGATCACACTGTCTCTCATAATATTATAAGTCATTTTCAAATGCAATTGAGATAACAAAAATAGCAAGTATTTTTTTTTACAAGAATTTGAAAACTCAGAAGAGGAAAAGGAGGTTAAAGATGTGTAGAAAATGCTTAATAAAACCTTTTGAAATATCATATCTATAATGAGGATATATGTTTCTCGACACTAGCTGTGAGACCAAGTCACCAGATCAAGAGAATAAAGTGAAAACAATTTTTAGATAATCAAATCAAAACTCGATCTAAAAACAACTTTTAGATAACTAAGTCAACAAGACAAAGTTAATTAAAATATTTATTTGATAAAAACTAAAATATTTTTCTAAAATTTCATTTAACAAATATATTAATCATTTTCAAATATCTAATCAAAATATACAATAGCAATACTGCATCACGCAAGATTCACAAGAAAACGTTGTAGTAATATTCCATACTATATGCATTACAAAATAATCACAAGAAAACATTGTAGGCAGACCCCACTTAGGCTCAGTAACATCCCAAAAACATGACCAGAACCAACTCGACTAGGAAAATAAAGTATATGCCAAACCACGACATCTCGAGAGAACAAATGGAAACGAGGGAGACAGCAATAAGTGACGAAAAATAAAGTTCTTAATGTTAAGATGGCCAGCCACTAAGCATGCCAAACAACAATAAATCAAAACTTGAGAGCCATTTTGCAACCAGAAAGGCTAAGATCAACTAATCAACTGTCTATTTTCTTTACTACGTTGTTCTTAATTTGTCTTTAACACAATGGTCTCACCCAAATATCTGATTTATAAAACTAATCATTAATTTGATTTTGGATTTAGTAATGTCAGTGTAAAAAAGAGCAAGAAATTCTACATTTTCAAATACAGCTATAAAATCAAATCAATATAATTCCGAATTTGTTGCATAATCATAAATAGATATAGACATGATAAAAAAAATAGATTAAGTAAATTAGAAAATATATTCTTTTATTAGTTAATTAATGCATTAGTTTTAAATATAAATTTATTTATCTATGTTAATGGTAAAAAATTGAAGTAGTAAAATTCTAAATTCGAAAGTAATAATGTATGTGTAAATTATATTTTCACGAAGTCTAAACCATCATCATTATCTGGATCTGGAAGCATACCAATCTATGCAGGCAAAAGAGAAGAATCTGTTGCGGAGTCTGTTCCATCATCCGTTTCCATTGCAGAATTAGAAGTCAGGTAAGCAGAAGAAATTGCTGAATCCACACCAGGAGAATCCGGATCAACGGAATCTGCGGAAGAAACAGAAGAAGAGGAATCAGAATCGGCAGTAGCAGCATCAACAGAATAAGTTTCTATTCCTGAATCCGTTGGTGAGTCAGTTACTTACTACCTAAATATAATATTTTAAAAACTTATCTTTTAGCATCGAAAATTCTTCATTAATGTGTTAATAAATAAATAAATTCAAATGTAAACAAAGATATTTAATATTTGTATAATTTGTAATCTCATTGTAGTAATTAACATTAAGCTAATTTTGTATAAATAAAATTACAGGTTAATACAATTGAAGTTTCTCTTTGCAGTAAATTTCTTTTGAAAAAAATTACAATTTAATAACGTAACTATGTAAATTCATATATATTAAAATAACAATTATGATTGTGTTGGATATTGAAGACATGTTGATTGCAAAAAGAAAATACAAGCATAAATAAAATAAATTTATGTGTTATTTTTGTATTTTTTTTATTATGTCACTTTTTCAATTAAAGTGGATAAATAAACTTAGTATTTAAGATAAAATATGTTATTTTTATTATTAATATTCCTAAAACATTTTAAAATGAATATTACGACATTAAAAGGGTTATTTTTTTATTAAGTCACAAAAGGAATATATATTTTTTTGGGTTCATTCCTTGAGTATTCCTCATCACTTTAAAGGATGAGATAGCTAGCCCCAAGATTTAATGCGGTTACATACACAAGACAGGATTCGAACCCCTAACCTTACTTAAGGGTGGATCAACCCCTACT